GTCGATTTACTAGGTGCCGTGTTTCACAACTTGTTTATTTATATACGTATAGCGGATGATTTTTTTTTTTTAAATTAGTATTTATTGATTTTCAGCCCCCAAGTGACTGTGCCTAAAACATAACCTTGTTTGCAGTGTGTGTGCTATTCGATCGACCACACATCTCCACAACCATCAACCTCCACCACGATATGGTAAGTGCCCGAATTTAAAGCGGGAGGGTCGTCACCTGCGCACGCGTGGGAATTGAATCCCAAGCGACGATAACAACTTTGAACACACGCTAAAAACGCAAAGGCTCTTGTTTGTAAACAGTGACACCCTATGGGCATCTGACGCATGCGCAGATGACGACTTCGACTTAACTGCGCTCCAACGCATACATCAACAAGCCCAGAAAAGGACAAACACATCATTCACAGTATATACCGGTAATGCAGAATTTTATACGTCGAAAAAAAAATGTCAAGAAACTGCTCTCTGATTGGTCTAAATGTTAGGTGTAAGAGTTGGTAAGCCAATCAGGAACAATCTTGTAAGTAGATTTGCATTGACTCAATATTCATTATACATAACATTCTCAGCAAATAAATGTTAAACTACTAGTATCCCTAATGATTGTAGAGTAAGCCTTCATGACGATAGCAGAGCTATTCGTATTTTACCCACTTGCAGATGATCTTACAATTGCATTTACATGGGCAAAGTGATCCTACACAAGGCTAATGTCACGTAACACGCAATTTGAAAACTTACGGTCAAGTAACCGTCATTTCGTTACAATCGTGGAAAATTATGACGCACGCCACGCACTATAATGACAATTATACAATTATCGGTAAGATCGCGTCAGTAAAAAACTTGACCTACATGACATTTCGCCCATGGCCCCGGGTAAGTTGTCACCTTGTAGCGTAATCCCCGAGTTTCGCTTGACTCGATTTCAATAGATGCGCCCTCTGAACACAATCCCATGGCCATTTTTTTTCACTTGCAAGTACAACGTCGGTATATAGTGTATATGCTATACTCTCAGTGTCCACGTTTCGGCGATGACCTTTACAAATTGGCACTATAAAGGCACAGAAGATACATTATTAAAAATAACAATCTAGAAAACATTTATAATTTATAATTAATTATTTATAATTAATTATTATATAGATCTTGCGTATAGCGTCCATCTACCACAGTTTCATTATGCAAATTTTAACTGAAAGTTAGAAAAAAATCATGCAACTGAACTACAAGTAGTGGTAACGGCATTTATATCACCACTGATGTTATAGCAGCGTTTCGTCACCAGAGGGCGTATTGTATAAGAAAGGTGTATTCTCCATAACTTTATTTGAAAAATATCACGCCCGTGAAAACGTTATCACTCTGACAAGTTGTAACAGATTCAGACGATTTAAAGATTATCCAAATTACTAATTAATTACGAGATGTGCATCACTAATGTCATTAGAACAGACACAAACATGTATAGTGTGATGAATCGGATTAAGATAGACGACTAACAGACAGTCATATCAGAATTAGATAATAAACGTCTACGAGTTAACAAAAAGAAGAACAATAATTTCATTGTTGAAAATAGTAAAAGAATGTTTACCAAATGCGTGGTCGAACATATTGTTCAAAAAATCTAATAAATTTAGTTCCATAACCTTCTATTTGAGTTAGTAAAAGCCTCTCTCTATAAAATAGAAAATGCATACCTGTTTTGTATTTTATGTAACAAGGAGCGCAACTGTGATTGTTTGAAAATACTGAGGATCACTGCAGCTCGAAATAGTTGCTAGGAGTCAAATCGATTTATCTGTATTTAGTGTGACTCCGAAAGCTGACGTTTAATCTGATATGTTGTACTTATCTTTGTCGTGGCGACTGTACGGGCCAAGTACACACTTGTGTATTCGACTAACAATGAGATTATACATATACGGACTGTTATCATTTCAACGAAATCCCAGGTCAATCCGAGTTAACGCTCATTACGCTCACGTCCACCGCTCAGTTCAGTTCGTTTTAACGTTCAGTCTACTTCGTTTACAGGCATGGGGGAACGATTCGATTTTATTATAATCGGTGCTGGTACAGCCGGCTGTGTCCTAGCCAATAGGCTGTCTGAAGACCCTAAAGTGTCGGTGCTGTTACTGGAAGCAGGCCCTGAAGATTCCAATGAACATATCCATACACCACGGGATCACCACATCCTGCAAGGCCAACCTGATATTATATGGCATTACATGGTATGTTAGGCTTTTTTCTTGTCAATTGGTAATATAGCAGTATATTGCGTCCGTTCAAAATATACAGTATTATTGTGGTGTATACACGTATTAATTTGTATTTACTTTAGATATAAATACTTATTCTTAATTCTTATGAGTGCTATCATTGTTAATGTTATTTCAGGACAAGCCCATACAAAAAAAGAAACTTGCCCGCTTACGTTTCATACTCCACATCGATTTAAATTATATCTCATTTCCCAACAAATACTTTGAGAAAGAATTAGTGCACTACATAATTCGTTGAGAAAAACTAAAACTCATCTTGCGCAAACATTCTTGAAAGATGACATACATGTATATATATCAACACTCGGATTTGTATCGAATGAAGAACATGTCTTCAAGAAAACAAACTGTTAAATAAGATCGAATGTTCGATGATTTGCTTTCATGGCTGAAATCCGTGCTTTGGAAACGGTGCCTGTCAAACAATTAATTCGAAATACAAATAACAATGATAAGAGCTACGATAACAGTTTATGTTTAAATGCCTATACTGTCTGTTGACAAGCGAATTTATCGTCATATTATACCGGACTATTTAACCCAATCTTTCTGACTACCGCATATTTGATGTCCAGTATATTTTTCTATGGTTTAATGATATCTCACAACATTTCAATATTTAACGCCAGTATCATTGCAATCAACAGACGGAACCCCAGGACCATGCATGCCTTGCTATGAAGGAGCGTAGAACTTATTGGCCGAGAGGAAAGGTAACCGGCGGATTATTACTAAGCAACGATTTCCCTCAACATTAGTCGGGTAGTTGGGCAGATAACAGTAGACAAATTGAGTAATCATGAGATAAAGTCAATCCCTGTTAACCACAATGTCATTTATCTGATTTACATCACTACAAACTGCTGTGGGCTGTTGCACGTATGAATCATGCAATGTCGTGGTTTAATATCCTAGTGTCCATATTTGTTACTCTCACCAAGTAATTATTATGTAATGTAATTGTTAGTTGTTAATATGCTGTCTATTAGTTTGTATCACGTGAGTTATAAATAAACGATATGGAATTATATCATGATTTAGTGTCTGAACAATAATTTAAGAAATCACCGTTGTCGTATATGTGTTACTATTGCATACAGGTAATTGGGGGAAGTGGAAGTATAAATGCCATGGTTTACATTCGTGGATGTCCGGAAGACTTCGATTCATGGGAACGATCCGGTGCTACTGGATGGGGGTATAAAGATGTTCTCCCATATTTTATTAAATCGGAAAACAACACCAAGTAAGTAGGTTATAATACTGGCCAGAGTTGAATTTCGAGGTTTATAGTTCATCTTGAGACATACATGCGTTTAGACAAGTATATTACAATTGATGTATCAGATAGCGTTACTATAACCATGTGTCGTCATTTTCCCTTTCAACAGTCCCGAGTATGTAGCCTCTGGCGTCCACGGGAAAGGCGGACCGCAAACAGTGGGTGACGTCAATCCTAGCACTCGATTGAAATATGCAGTTATGGGTGCAAGTGAGTAATTATTATGTTATGGTATTGATGGTCATTATTTGCAATTGTGCAGTTTGTAGATACATCAACTAATATAATAATTAATTTTACAGTAAAGGAGCTCGGCTATAGAGAAAAAGATTGCAATGACGGGGACATGGCAAGTATTTTCTACATATATATTAAACTACTGTAAATCACACTGAAATAGAAAGATGTGACAGAGAATCTGGCTAAATTACAGAAATAGGGCAACAATAATTGTTGTAAGAAAATAATTTCTGTTTAATTAGACGAACTAGAATGTGCTTCACTGCAGAATCAGATGAATTAGTGAAAATAGTATGCGAGATGAAACACATTTTTACAGTGTAACAACGTATGTATATGTTTGTGGTTTTTTTTTTTTTTTGGGGGGGGGCAGATGACCCAACTCAGTGTGTATGTTTGACACGAAAAATCAGAAACTGTAATCACCACTTATAAAATTCAAATCAATCTATTCAAGCACGTCGGTTTTACGTTGAATTTTAAGTGTAAAACTCACAGAGAAAACAAAAATGCTAATATATGCTCATTAAATTTTACAGGTTGGCTTTATGAGAACGCAGGCAACTGTAAGCGAGGATGGAAAGCGCCACCATACTGGCAACTCGCATCTACGTCCCGCGATGACGAGAAGCAATTTATCAGTTCGCACTAACGCACACGTACTGAAGGTAATTTGATAAATATTACTGAACATACTCAATTATTTTGAGGTTCCTGTTCTTAAAATCTGTCTTGTGTACTTGTCTTTTAGGGTATTCCTATGGAATAATTTTAGTTATGGCTAAAGCTACATGTGTCACGTGACCAATAGATAACTCCGATACAAACGTAATCTACATAATGGTGTTTTCATAAATTAAAATAAATATTATTAAATTTGTTTTTGCAGATCGAATTTATGAACAAACGAGCCGTTGGCGTGAAATACATGAAGAATCATAAAGAGAGTTTTGTTTTCGCAAACAAAGAAGTAGTGTTATCTGCAGGAGCCATCGCCTCTCCGCAGGTTCGTAATGAAAGTAACATAAATATACATTTTGTCTTTTTGCATTGTTCAGTTGATTAGCGCCAGTCTTGTGTTTCTATTCTTGGACTCGTAAATCCTGCTTTCGACTTTTGTTTATCGAACAAAGTTTATTCCTACATTAACTACTAGTATGCGCCAATCTGTGTATTGTTGTATACACCAATATTTATTAATTTCATATTTATATAAAAACATTATACAAAGTTAAACGAAATAGTACACATACTGTAGTACATATCACAGTCTCAATTACTAAATCTCAAACTCGTTAAAAAACAATTTAGAAGATCATTCAACCGGACTGTCCAATAAAAAAAAAAAAACATTTTAAAGATACAAGGAGAATCAGTGCCTTTTGACATGAAAGTCACTTCATTTTTCATTCACATCGTTTTAAAATGTATTTATGTATTTAAAATGTATTATATGATCGATTTGTTTTTCAGATATTGATGCTTTCTGGTATCGGACCAAGAAAACATTTAGATGAAATGAAAATTCCTGTTGTTGCAGATCTACCAGTTGGACAAAATTTGCAGGTATGTGAGAATATCTCATAATGGAAAAATAATCATTATAGTAATGTTCTTGAAATATTTACAGCTTCTAGGTGATGTGTTGATTATATTCTCATTTAATTGATCTCGGATGAACGTGGATAACTGATAGTTAACGGCGATGCATGGGTAGTGATCGGATATTATTGTAGAGAAGTGTCGCTAGTAACTTCAGATCAATACCCCCCCCCCCATAAATCCAAATTACGAGAACGTTTTCCTTTCATGCTGTTTTATTACGAAGGTTCTGATCTTATTCTATCTTAAATAGGACCATATAGCTGTAATACCAATGCGATTCTTGGCCAATGAGGATGTAGCAGAGGTGAGTGCACTATTGGCAGCATAGTCCATGTTAACTAAAATATTGATATGCTAATTTAAGCCGATTAAAGTCCTTATTCACGAATGAGAAACGGTTAGATCATAAATGTGGTATATTTTCCAATTCCTAAATATTTTATGTCTGATAACAAGACAGTTGCTAGTTAACAAAACCATCAACTACGGTTGACAAGGTGATAAATAAGTTAAACGTATTTAGTATGTCGGTTGGTAACTTAGTTTTTCGTGAATATATTACAATGGTGATGGTGTAAATCTGGAAAGCTGAAAAGTATATTATTACATGAATCAATAAATAGCAAGATGATTTCCAATCTTGTAAACAAATAGTACATGCGATATTTATGCGATGCATAAAAGTGAATATATAAACGCTCAATAAATATTCGATGCGTGTGAAAACAGATTTAAGGCATTATAAATCAACCTCTTCAAGCTGTCATTCATTGTACAACACAATCGGTTAGTTCATCTAGTATTATAACTTTTCATATAGTAAATCCTAAATAGTCCTTAAAATAATATATCTTTTCCTGCAACAGGAATGGTTAACAAATGTGTTCGTGGAGGTAAATGGTTTCATCAAGACTGGGGTACAGGTGAGGATCTTATATGAATGTAAGACTACTGCTAAAAAGTATCATTTGCGTCTTATCCAGCCTTTAATTGAGCGTATACGTATTACGCATTGTATTTTGTATTTTTAGCCAGATATAAAATGGCCGGATATTGAGCTTATCTGTGTAGCTACGTACTATAACTATGGCGCGGATGAATTTCGATATCTCAATGTCAGTGAAATGTAAGTTAATATACTTTTGTATTTGTGTTTCTTCGTTCGTTTGTTTATCCGTCTATCTTTGGGTGTTCCATGGTTTGTTTTCTGCGTTTTCTTGTATCTCTTATTGTCTTTATGTTTTATATCTTCGGTAGAAGAAAGAAAGAAACATGAATTCACAGTGGTCTGTCATTTGGAAACTCTAAACGTCATTAAACTTACTAATACATTCTCTGAAAGCTGGGATATTTGCAAATACGATGTGTACATGTACCGTATCAATGTTTCTCTAATTTTGTGGGTCAAAAAATCTAAAAGTGGATCAACGCGTTACGAGTTTTCTAGCCATGAGCCTATGTTTTTAACAACCAGGGCTTCACGCCATCGGCGCTCGCGAACTTTGCCTTCGGCCAACTTATCGCCCCCCCCCCCATTCCAGAATCCTAGATCCGCCCCTGCTAGCTGCATATTCGTCTCGGTTTTATCTTTGCATTAGTGTTCCTGTTACAGCTTGTCAAATCTGTCCAACATATCGTTACATATCTACAATTATTGGTCGTAGCTGGAGAGAAAATAACCGAGACATGGTCGTTACAAACGTTCCGCCGTGTGTTGAAATATTTGGCGTTTTCAATAATCGATATAGTCAAAAACGACTTATACATTCATCATATTCGTCAATACCTACGAATAAGTTTCAATCACTCATGTATATTTCAGGTTTTCCCGTCCAATGGGACATGATATGTCACGCGAGGAACGAGAAGCAAAAAAAGGAGTGTTGTTCATGCCGATGTTGTCTCATCCAAAAAGCACTGGAGAAATCAAGTTAAGAACAACCAACCCATTCGATCACCCGATTATTGACCCAAAATACATGTCTGAAGCTATTGACGCAAAAACACTTGTCGAGGTAACAAATAGTATTCTTCATTTATTATTTTTTTGATGAGAATTAGATTCAGATTATGTACATATTTCCCCCTACATTTATTTAGTGAACTTCGAATTATTCAGCAAGATACAAGCATCCAATATACACCCATTTTACTTTGAGTGTCCGTTTTGAATAGAGGTATGTTTTTATAAAAAAAAATGGTGTGATTGATAACAGTTTTAAAACATTTCAATCAATCCTGTAGACTTTATGTCGCCGAAATAGACAGTACGACCAACACATGTTATTACACGCACAGTGTAATCATTCGAAGAGATACCAAACTCAGTTGGTGTGTCATAATCATACACAATTTACCAGACTTCGACTGACAGTTTACACAGTAGAACACGCGGTTCCACAAAGTCATCAAGTCCCACATCATAATGAATTTTACGAATAAACTAAACCGAGCATATATTTGAAAGAAATTTAACCTAAGCTCTATAACGACAAAAATGCCTGGACTGTGAACACGTTCCAAGTAGGTCGACTATACACGGGGGCAATCACAGAGAATCACAAGTGTCACTGAAAAATCAATGGACACCTGAAAAACAAATGGAAACTAGATTTTGTTTAAACAGTAGCAAATTACAATGTTAAACAATTACACTGGTTTGACGTCCCTCAAATGTTTAAAAAAAAGTTGTTTTTCGATGAAGTACTGATGTTTTAGGAAATCTGAGTTTCATGAAAAGAGATTGCGTTGCCATGAAGAACTAGAAATATGACAATGACCGCTTCACTGAGCCTTTCCTCCGCGAAATGTTTCACGGACAAGGGAGATTGTTCTTGCTTTTGAATAGCGCATAAATTCGACTTCAACTAATTCTCCATGTTGCCAGGTGATTGAAGTATCACTAATTATTTACGCGTTCGGAGTCGACTACAACGTTGATCACCTAAGCACGCTGATAGGTGATTATATTTCGGCGACACAAAGTCTACAATGTCAAAACAATCGCACTATTGTTTATAAAATCGCTAGCAGATTTTCCTGTTCTAATGCGACGACCACTGTCCTTTTAGGCTTTTACTCCAATGCAATTACATTACATGGACTCGACGTAAGAATTTCTAAACTTTAAACAAACACACGCTTACATGTAACGATCATATTTCTTCATCTGTTTTTTTCCAGGGGTGTCGATTTGTTCAGAAAATGGCAGAAACGGAAGCTTTCAAAAAATTTAAGTAAGTAATCAAATATACAATATATTGATATTTATATACCAACTTCAATGCAATGTTCTTTATTTTATAAATAATCCTTATTTTCCCGTAGTTATACTGGTCCAATCTATAGCGAGTATCACAACTGTCCACACCCCATGGATTCCGACGAATACTGGGAACACGTAGTTCGCCACAACAACATGAACATATACCATTCAGTTGGTACCTGCAAAATGGGAGCTGCTGGCGACCCAACAGCTGTAGTGGACCCTACACTAAGGTAAATTGTCATATATTTTATTCACAGTCTCTGATACAAATGTACAAAGTTCAAGTCCAAGATTGTGTATCTTGTGAAAGTGTCCAACGTGTCCTGTCCTCGAATAAATGTCATTCCACGAATATTCCCATTTATCGGTGTAAGAACTTGATCAAACATTAGTGATTACCTTCGTATTAAACAGCTTAAATCATTAAATACTAGTATCGTGTATTGTTTTCTCCGGGTAACGTTATTTGATTTTGTTCTTAGGGTTCGTGGCCTAAAAGGACTTCGCGTCATTGATAGTTCTATCATGCCTCATCAGACATCCGGGAATATTAATGCACCAGTGGTAATGATTGCAGAAAAGGGAGCTGATATTATAAAACAACAGCACATTGACTCCTCATTGTAACTCACCAACGTAAATGTGTGAATATTTGATGACAATGTGTTTTTTTAAATCGCTTAAAAAACTGTGATTATTCTGTTAATTAGAACTCGCGCAGATGTAAGTCTCGCATACCTGTATTTCTGTCTTTAAAACGGGAAAATGACCAACAATAAAATAAAAAAAAACGTATTCCACGATATAGTGATTGGACACATTGGGAAATAAATTTATCATTAGGGAAGATTTAATGTTTAAAAATCGAGCAATACTATTGAGACTCTTTATCACGTCGCTGATGCAGTGCAAGCATTTAATATCCACTAGTTGAATTCTTCAATCACACAATCTCAACTACTAGTATGTTGTAATTTTATATCGTCTTTTATGTTATGCTAATAATGTGTTTCCCTCGTGGTATATCATTCATATACAAATTGTATTGACTTGATGTTGCGAGTCGCATGCGTCACTTTGAAATGCACCATGTGTTACAGCAAGTCTCAGAAGTATTGGGGCAGCCAATTTGCAAACTCGTTGACTAATTTTTGCTGTAATATTTGATCAAAGTTAAAGTGTGAACAACTCCCGTTTTTTTAACCATTTGAGCCCCAAAGTCAACTTCAGACACTATTCCCAAAAACCTGAAATATACATGAGTGATTGAATCTCGCTCGTAGGTATTTGGGGAAACCTCAATTATAACAGTTGAGATTATAAAATAAAATTGTTCGCTATTTCACGTGTCTGTATTTTTTGATGAAAGTCGTGTATATGTGTATAGTATATAACAGAGGATGATGAGTGAGAGAGAGACCCGCCATTATAATTTCATTGATGTATTTGGATGTCAGAGGTCAATGATAATAGTGCCAAGTTTTGATTGGATTAAAACGGTATAATTAAACTCATGGCATTATTTTATTTTGTAAGCTCCTTCTTCAATCTATTACACATTGAATGAATGAAAACTGCACATTAACGACAAACCTATATTATGAACCGCCAACATGAATGTACAAGTCAGTGAATATGTGCAGGTCAATCTCAAGTCAATTTAATTGTTTTATATTGGCAACCACATTTTATCAGAATCCACACAGACATATTTGAGATTTTGCTTACACAATTTAATGATGTCTACAAGATACCCGTATAGCTAATGGAATCTGAATCCGCTCTTGATTACACAGGCTTGAATAAAAAAAATTAATAAGCAAATTGCGTACTTAATATGCACAGACGTGGCCCAAAAACCGTTCATGACTGCAGATTACCCTAAGGTACACATGTACTCAATTTTGATTAAAATCGTCTCAAAAGTGTTCGAGATTTTGCTTTTAGTGAAATGAGAAAATTATCACGGAATTTAGCCATTTAATATGCAAATACATACACCAAAAACTAATCATTTCTGCACTTATGTGCCAAGTTTTATCAAATTTTTGACATTTTTGTCACATACAGGTTGAAATAAAACATTTTATATGCAAATTAACTACCCATTTTCCCCTGATACGGTAAAAAAAATAATCATGTCAGAATGTTATTCAAGTACCTAATTTGATGAAAATCCACTATGGAGTTTTACATTGTGCTTATACAGGCTTGAATGCGAAAATAATATGCAAATCAGTACATGACAATTAGCGAAACTTTCATGTCTTGGTTGGTTTATACGACAGGGACTGTAACGCACAACTATCACAACAATAAAATCAGTTTTGAATCACCTAGGATATAAAAATACAGCACAAAAACCAGGTTTCCTGGTCCGAAAAACAAGGATTTTTTTTTACAATGAAGGCAGCCATTTTGAACTGACAAATAAAAACTGCCCACTCTGGTGAGTCACATTCAGATGTACATCAAATTATACCCACCACACCACCAATATCCTGCTAAAAATTTAGCTGATACCAGACGTTGTCTTTTTAACCTGGACAATTTTTAATTTAACTGCACAGGGGTTTGCTATTCTGATAACAAGTTGTTGGGTTAAAAACAAAAGAACAGCATAAACAGAGAGAATCAATTGAGGGCAGTATGCTGTCAAATTGATATTTTTTTTACTGGTAATAATAACGACTGTGATTTTTATTTTATTCAATACAGACGTGTTTATGGTGTTGCAGATACTTGAAATTAAACTGTTTGGTCTGATTATATTAATCCAATTGAATGTAATCAATGCAATAAAAACTTGGTGGTTTAAGAAAATGACTAGTTGAATTAGATGAATTTATTTCTATAAGAAAGTTGAAAAAAAATTGTAACTGATTTATGAAGTTAAGTAACCCCATGCGTGGAAAGTAAAACACCAAACTAATCTGTAAAAAATAATTTCCAAAATTTGGTAATTGATTTGTGAAGTTAAATTAATGATGTTGACAATGTAATTGGCAAATATTTGTTTAGTATATTTTCAAATTTCATTTTGAAACATTAAATGTTGTACCAAGTAGTAAAACAGGGTTAGACAATGTCAGTGCAAGAATATTGGATTGGAGAGAGTGAAGTGAGAGTTGACAATGTGATACATGATTGACAGCATTGCAAGTTATGGTTTTGTGACTTGGGATCCAGTAAGTGCATAGCGAAAGACATTGTTGTAATTACCAAAGACAATTTGACATCCAAGTTAACATTAATTACCCAAGTTGCTCTAATGAGCATTATTGCAGATTTACAGGAAAGACGAGAGGATCTTAAGATCCTTTAACAACTTTAATAAAATTCACATTGTGTATACATTTCATATTCATTATGGAATACAAGTTTCAAATATAAGGGTAAACCTGAAATATACACATAGCAGTTTAATTTGCATTCAAGTAATTGAGAGTTGTTACAGATTTTAAATCTATATACTTGACCAGTGAGACTGTCGCAATGAACAATACTACCAACATTTAAATGAAGAATTTCAATGCTTGGGGATGGTCACATAGACTGACAAGTTGGGGTA